TTTTTTTACGCTGCGTTACACGCTTAACAGCTGAAATGATGTGAGCTCTGCTTAGGTTCGAACTGCCGTCTAAAGCTAACTAACTAACTAACTAACTAACTCACTAACTAATTTATTTCCGTGTCTTTTCCACCACCAATTCATATTCATAAATGAACTTTTAAAACTTGCGTATTTCGGCCACGACAAACACGCCCACACTACCAGTATTTCCGAAACAAGTTTTGAAGAAAATTGAAAATTTCGACATATTTTTGCATGAATATCGTTACGGCTCTTACAGCACCTAGTACTTTGAAATTTGTATTCAATGTCCCCTCTTCGTGTCTAAAATGAAACGCAAAAAGTGCTTTGGTAGGTGGAACATTAACAAAAAAAAATAATACGTTCAACTAAAAGGGTCCGTCCCTAAGGTTCTAAGAATATAGTTTTTCTTCTTTCGTTGCATTTTCGCTATCATTTACAGTTTTTATATCCTTTGCGGCACCCAGAGGAAGATTCCAAAGACCCCACAAAGTATACATATTTTTAATCCGTTTGTTCATCTGTCCGTCCTTCGGAAACATTAAAAATCCTTGCGCTCAGGTTAGTACTGAAACTGAGTCAAATCGGGCAAAGGGCACGTTCACAGCACTATGTAAACTGAAAATAGCTAAGCCCTACAAACGACAGCAGATGAACCTATGAAACCTATAAAAATTTCAACGTATATTCTATGAACGATGTTACAGTAACCGTGCAAAAGTGGAATAAATGGGTCACGGTTACCGAATATTATGAACTATTAAAATGTAATGCTTCTGTCAAAACCATCGTAACCCCCAACAACAAGCAACAAGCTTCAGTGATACCATAAGATGAAAACGTTCCTGAGCAGTGTCAAATTTGAAACGCATCTAAGCATGTCCCCCTGTTCCGTGGTGAACATTTTCCCGTTCGCAAAATGAAGATAACTTTGATGGATGCAAGAGATTCGGTCACAGAGGAATATAATTTTTTTACTTGTTTTCTTAGGGCAATATAAAGCGAACGCTATAAGCCAATCATGATGATCGTCATGCGATTACAAATTATTTATGAAGAGCGTACAAAAGCGTATACAAGACATCGATTGTCTGACAATGTTTCCATGACTTTGTGGTTTTTTCTTTTTCATTTTTTGTTTTGTTGTCCACCTTTCAGGTAAGAGTTCTTTTGAAAATAATACAAGAAGGGCAGGAAAACTCTTGCTAAAAAATTTTAATTAAATTTCAGTTTATATAAATATTCATTTGAATTGATTTTATTTAATACTGATTAGATTACTGCGAGAAAATCAAGTTAAGTAAAAATTCAATTTATACCCAAGGGCTCAACCTTTAGGCTCTCTTCCTAGATTTATTGAAATAGAAAAACAAACAGAGATTAAAGGACGAGAAATACATAAATTTTGAGTGCATCGTCCTAGTAAATAAATTTTAAGTTTTGCCTTAACGGTAGGCTAATTGTAGCAATGTTCAACCAAAGTATGCCTCCATTTCATATATATGCCATATTTTAATCGGATATTTTGTCAAAATGTCTGAAACACCCATAACAACACTTTTAAGACTGTGTGTAGAGTGTGTGTCTGTCCTTATGCTCGTGTTAAGCGCTCTCTTACATATCATCCTCAATTGAGATATCGTCCTTAGAGTATTTTAAGCTCTTACAGGCAAGTGGGGGCCAAATCGGTAAAAAAGATTATTATTAAACTCAGAGCAATTCTACTTCCAAAAGCAAACAAGTTTAGGTTTTCTTCTTCTTCCTTACTAATAGACCGTAATAGATAAAACGATACAAGTTTCTCTTTACATTTTATGTGCCATCTTAAAGTGTTTGCATAAAGATGTCAATGATACGCTCAGGTGGTGGGAGTACGAATGATTCGCCCACCGCCGACTGTCATTTTCTTACCAGCTACTTAAGAGTTTAGTTTTGTGTTCTACATTTGTCTTTATTAAAAATTTTGTGCTTCCAAAGTCAGATAAATGCAAGCAAGAATATGCCCACAATTAGACAAAGACTACCGCAAATGAGTAGAAGTCTGGTTCTTCACACAAAATTTTGCATGTAAAAAAACAATGTACGTGTGTATGATAGGATATGTAAAAAAAATGTTTTAAATAAATAAATTTTCATTGGAATAAAATTAGACGTTACTATGAGTTGACGTCCCTATCTAAATCATCCAGAAGAACGCAATATTTTTAATCACTTTTATTAGGTTCACTTCATCTCGAACTGGACTCGAAGCAAAATCTTTTGTAAGAGGATTAGATTTGCTTTTATTTTTCACTTATTTCTTCATCATTGGCTGCAATATACACTCGCCGGATGTAAATAAAAATATTAAGATTAAAAGCTTACCTTACAACCTTATAGAGAAGGTCGTCGGTCCAAACCACAGCAAAGCTGACTGTAAGTAGTTTTTTACAATATTACGTTAGGCTTAAAATACTAACAAATAAACGTAAGTCTAAGGCTTACACTAACCTGCAAAGAGAAAGAAGAAACCTTAAAATCAATACATGATTAGTTATATATTTTGGTTTTTGCACACTTTTCAAAATAAGTTATCGCTGCTTAGAAGAAACTTAATTTCCTAATATTTGAATGCCCTGCTGTTTTCTTGTGTTCAATGTACTGGTCGCAACTTTTGAAATATTTTCAGGAAATTTGGTACACCATTATGTTTTGATCCCAGGCCGATCGCATCGGACTACGTTTGCGACCATTTTCTATGCGGCGCTTTATTTTAGAAATCCGTTACATATATATATAACTGCATTAAAGTGATCCAGAGCATTTAATGGAGGACGGCATTGTATACGCTTGCAATGCTTGCATTCTTAAGTATGAACTCTTGACTTCCTTAAAAGGCTATTATTTATGCACCTTGAAAAAATAATTGACTGAAGAGATTTACTTTTTCGCTTTACTCTCTTGATTCCCAATCCACTAACGAACGAATCGAATCTTCTATTGCCATTCACTCTCCATGTGTACAAGTGAGAGCCTGCTTAGGCTTCTCTGCATGAACTAATATTCAGCTTTCAGTCTTTTGAAACCTCGGCTCTGTCTGCTTTTTTGATTCTATGACTTCACACCTATTCGATCTCAGATATTAAAGCATCAGTAGTACTATACTGTTGGGTTATCATACAATTGCAAAATCACAAATGCCTGAAAATTCCAACAGATCTTAACATGGATGATGTTCGTGAAGAGCTCTGATCTACAGTTTAGTATCGATTGGTCCACTCATAAATCTACTATCAGCAGAAAAGTTTAACAATTATTGATGTCTTTGCTATACGAGATTTCGTTTTAAGCGGAATATGGTTTTTTTTGATGTTTTTACACCAACGGGTAAATTCGTTTGGTGAAAATGTTTGTAACGCCCAGAAAAACGCATCGCAGACCCACAAAGTGTATATATTATTGATCAGCATCAAATTCGAAATTAATTTATGCATATCCGCTTCCCCTTCTGTCCGTTTGTGTAATGTCTGTTGCAAACATTCTCCTGGCCGCAAAAATGAAGCACAAAAATTGGCATATTCCATGGGTTGTGCTGCAGCAACTGCAGAAAAATGAAAAAAAAATTGACCACGCCTATCGAATGTTATAGTGTATCAAAATTAAATTTTTTTTCCAATTCACGCAGAAAGAAGCTTCAAAAGTTCCGCAAAATTAATAAATTTTTCGCCGGTCTCAAATTTTGAGTACATCCAAGCATGTCTGTCTGTTCGTTTGTCCATCTGTCCGTCTGCCCGATTGTGTAGTATCTGTGGTAACGATTTTCCCGTTGGCAAAAATGAAGACATCGCATACAAATGCAAATTTGCAAAAGAATTTGGAAATGGTTTATACTTCTCCAAGGACGCGCCTAACACTAGGACTCGGTAAACACTTTTTCAGTCACAAAAATGAAGATATCGCCTACAAATATGCAAAAAAAAAAAAAAAAAAAAATAGGAAACATCAGACACGCCCATCCAATATCATAGAGTACGAAAATTTACTATTATTTTTTTTAATCATTTTTAGGTTCCTTTACCTAGATTCACAATTGATCATAAATTTCCAGCTGTAGAATACCGCAAGCTATGTTATGACCATCCAGCGTGCATTTGCATCTTGCATGTTGAAAAATATTGTTTTTATAAGTAATTTCTATTCCACCAATCCAATGTAAGCTATGTGTTAAAGTGACACATATAAACAGGTGCAATTAAATTTTATGTTGACATTGGATGCATGATGGATGCATAACGCAAATGTATTCATTCTGTTGAGCGGTTAAGAATACCTTTTCCATATTTATATATTTCTATTGTACCAAAAAAAACTTACGTAGAGAAAATCTGTATGTGTGTTCATTAAACATGTAATGCCACGTTTCTCCTTATCTTTCTGTTTGCATATGTAATATGTCATATTTTCTTTGTCAATGTTTGTCAATCTGTCTATCTTGTATATTTTATGTTTAGCATAAATATAAACAAAACAACAAAACAACATTTTAAAAGGCAAGATTTACTAAATGTGTATCTGAAGAGAGAACGTTTCAATACCGATGATATGATGATACGGTATTGCGGCACAGATTTTTCTGCTTGTTATCAACTTGTTTATAAACATGCGCTGATTCCACAACAGGTGCTGTTGTTATAATTTGAATGAATTTTTAAAATTCTTTAATTTTGTCTCGGTACGCAATAATGGCATTTTCCTCCATTGAATTTCGTAACGTAACGTAAAATCTAACGCATAAACGAATGGATTTATTATGAAAGTTCAAATGAATAGTGTTTTAGTTGCGGTCTATCTAACAGAAAATATATGTTCATGTTTATGTATTACTTTTTAATATTGTTGTTGCTATTATTATTAATATAATTATTATTATTATTATTATTATTATTATTATTATTATTATTAATTATAACTAATGAAATGATCCGATTTCATTACAGAAATTTCAACATTTCAACCGGAATTTGTGGAAAGTATATCAAATGTATCGGTGGCAGTGGGACGTGATGCAACATTCACTTGTCATGTACGTCATTTGGGTGGTTATCGGGTAAGTTATTTTGAAAAACGAAAATTCTTAAAATCCATATGCTTATGCTCGTTTATTTGCCCATAGTTGTATACTTTCACATATTCACCCATATAGCCAAACGCACGCACATCTACACACGCTCATATGTGTCCAAAACACCAAAATGTATTTGATAAATAACCTATGAATTTTTACACGTACACACGCTCTCTTCTTTTAATACATACGTGCATATATATGGACAAAAAAGTACTTAATATCACATCAATTACCTCTTGCAACTGCAAACAAAAAACTTGAAACATATTGTGCAACAGTATACATTATATATGTGGGTATACCTACCTACCTACTTCCATCAGCCAACCACTTAGTCACTTCTCTATATAAATCTACATGTACGTGTTTGCATATGCATTCAAAACATTTCAGCAAAATAATGCGCGTGTATGTTGTGCTTGAGTTCGTGTGTGAGTGTGTGTATGTGACAGTAAATCATTTAACATCATTTTTCATAAAAATTACAATATGCAACAAACACTTTGTAGAAAAATTGTGAAAACGAAAAAAAACAGAAACAAAAAGCAATGAAAAAAAAAACTATTTTACTCTTTAAAAAACGTTTCGCCTTTTACGTTGACAGGTCGGCTGGCTTAAAGCTGATACGAAAGCCATACAAGCGATCCATGAGAATGTTATAACCCATAACTCCCGCGTTACTGTTAGTCATTTAGATCAGAACACATGGAATTTGCATATAAAGGCCGTTGCTGAAGAGGATAGAGGAGGCTATATGTGCCAATTAAATACGGATCCAATGAAAAGTCAGGTAAACTATTGATTGACTGATTTTAAACCTTAAAAAATATGAATAAAGCAAAAAGTACGAAAGACTCATGTTTCTCGCCTTTGGAACTCATGTTTCTCGCCATTCGATTTCTTCTGTTTTATGCTTCGACTTTTCTAATAAATACGAGCACCTTAATTATAGTTAATTGACAATTACTTCGTATTTTTAATTCGTACTACGTCATCTGCTTTAAGGTTGCAAGCCATGCAAGCGACAGTTTAAAGCTTGCCCGTCCATAATATGTTCATGTCGTCAAAATGTTACTTTTTATTGAAAATAGGGATTCGTCTAAGTCAACTGTAATTTGATCCGATTCACGTCAAAATTCTTACTTAGCTGTTTGAAAAGTATTGATATCGACGGAGCTATTGTTAGCATCGATGAATTTCCTTTAAACACAGAAATATTATAGAGGTCCGTCTTGTCTACTTCTGTCTTCCTTGATTTTACGAATGATCCGCCCGATGTCCGCCCGAGAAAACGCAGACGACAGCGCCTTCTATCACTTGTTCTTCTTTAACAACAGATCATACTCAACTTATAGACTAAATACTGCATGATAAACGACCAATTTAATGGCGACTCAATCAAAACAACTCAGCGAAGTTTGCGAAATGATATCAATATGACTACCAACAAGACATAGTCTTGTGACTGTGTCGCAAGAGGAAGTCAGACTTATCTCAGCCGATGTGGTAGAAACAATAATCTTTAATGATTTCTGTGTGAAACTACAAAGCAAATGCATACCAAGGGTCGACAGAAGCAGGCAAAGTTTGATCAGAAATATTGTACCCTGCTGCGAAATAACGCTGCCCATCTTCAACCGAAGCTAGAATACAATTTGTATCTGCAAATTTGCCGTAAAAAAGCTCAGATGCTTAAAAGCGGAACGAGGGTGTATCCAGTACTCTTGACATCCTTGAACGTCGGCATAATGTGAGTTTTATGTCGCGGTTATGTAAATGTATAAGCCACGCGTGCACTGCACGGGCGCTGCAGAGATCTATCCATCAATAAAATCTTTTAATGGGATTGCTCGACTTTCTCAGCGTTCTCGTGAATTTCTCATGTTCGCATATTTATGTAGAACATACGTAAATACTTGTCACTCTCTCTCCGTTCTCTCGCATAAATCATTCCTGAAAATTTTCACCCACACAAAAAAACACCTCTCACTGACTGAATCACTGCTTACAGAGGGCCCTTCAACAAGCGGTGTCACTTTAAATTGCTCGCCATTTTTAAACCGTCAGCATGTAAATGGCCTCAGGATGATTTTTGACAAATAAAAAAGTAAAGATTTTCGGATATACTTACTGCAGACTCGCTAATCAGACATAGGAAATACTCAAAGGAGATCATGACGTTTTACGCGAAACTACTCGGGATAACGAGGCGCACTTTCATCTTCCTAGGTATGTGTACAAGAGACATTATCACTTCTAGGGATCCGAACACCCAAAGGAAATAGTCGAACTAAATTAGTGTCTATTTGCCATCGTTTTCGGCTAACAGTCTTTCGAAAAGCTGCTGCTGATTTGACCGTTTCAGTCAATGGATTGCGCCGCTGAACATTATTGAGGAACTTTTTTACCCAGAAATTGGAAGCCGTAAAGGTTGCTCATTTTTAGGGGGAAAATGCCATTTTCTACATAGCACGTGAAATAGTGGTTCCACTGCATGACTAAAATAACATTTTTTATTGAAAGATGCTATAAAGAGGTTTGTTTACGGTAACAAACAAGAAACAAATCAAAAATAACTCAAGATCTTTTGTCTAAAATCATTTTTTGAGTAGCAACCCTTGGCAACTGATAGAAATTTCTGATTTTTTGGCTAAATATCCGTTATATAGCAAGTTCTAAACGAAAGCCACCTTACTTTGAGCTTGCGGTTGATGTTTCTTTTAAGCATTTGCACTGCTTCAGTTCCGCTAGGGTATTATAAAAAAAGGGGTAACACTCTTTGCAACTAAAAACGAGTTACAACCAAAATGTATGGTAGTAGTAGTGCAAAGGTATCCCTGATCATAAATAAGCAACAAAATACAGGACCTGTCATAACGGCAATGAATATCAGAAATAAAAAAGCGGAAGAGAAACATGAAATACAAAGAAAGAAAAAAGAAAAGTAGTTATATAAACCAAATCAAACTTTGCACGTATATGTCAATGTAATGCATATAAAAATGTCGTAGTGGCGAATAAACAAGGAACTGATGTGTCTCTCTCTCTACACATGTATATAGCTAAGCATTAAAAACATTATTTTTAGGTATCTTTATATACATATATATATATATATATATATATATATATATATATGATATATAGTTGTAAACATACGAACATATATCAGGGCAGCGATGAGGTTTACACTGGTAACCGAAGAATGTAAACATTTTATTATCTCACATGGGTAGAGAAACAAATGTAATACTGAACGCATGGGTGTTTGTTACATTACAGGTTTTTACTGGGCTTGGCACTTTTGCTTTATTTCAAAAGAAATATCACAGAGAGTGGAGGAAATAGAGAACTTCTTGATTTGTATGTATTGTATGTTTTAGCATAAAAACAATACAAACGAATATATGTGTGTTTGTTTTGTTGTGCGCTGCGAACGGTACCTTACGGGCGAAAGTGCGATAGAAATCCTTGTGCAAATAAGAGAGATTACAATTTCATTCCATTATGTTGAAATAAAAATTAAGGAAGCATGAAATACATTTTATTGGTGCTATAAACTATGCTTGGTTGGTCATTGATATGTTTATGTTTACACATACTCGTATATAGAGACACGAGTGTAAATCTATATACGGAACAGTGTGAAAAGTAATTTAAACGCAGAACATGAACTATTAGAGCAACAAAGTAACCGTTTTTCTTATCCTCAATAATGAATCGTCTTTACACGACTCGAATCGTTCAGGTTCATAAATGGGCGAGGCTATATTTAATTCTTTTTTATTATTCTTTCGCATTTCTTTTTTTACTTGCGTTACGCAGCGTTATTGACATGAAGAACATCTATAGTATAAAATTAAGAAATTAAGTCTTAACTTTCTTCGCATCTGTTTTCACCTTTTTAATAAAATTTCTCAATACATATTAACATAATTGCCTGGAAAAATAGTTCATGCTATGAATAAACAAACATTCATAATACACATGGGATAGTTGTTTTTAGATTATGAAGAGTTTCTTCGAGTATACGTTATTCTTAAGGGACCCAAAGAGTGGTTATAAGATGTGTTCATACATACATTTTTGTTTACGTATATCACACATGAAGTGGTACAGATACTCTGCTGCTTTCCAAGAAGAACAGAAACCCTCCAATTTTTCGTACTAAAGTAAAGAAAAGATTTTAGTAAGAGTAAGCCTTGCATCCTTGTCCGCCTCCGTATCATTAGCTGTAGACCAACAAGAATTCAAATTGAAATTTAAAATATATATTGGGGACAAAATGTTGGAACAACGTTTATATGGTGGAATTCATTTAACATCTCCGACAACGACCCCGTAGAAAGCAATGAAGTGACTTTTCTGTCCAACTGCGCTGACCTGACGTAAGACGTATATTCTTGGGTCCATAATCAGCAGTAAGAGGCATACTATCGATTTTAATTTCCATTGAAGAGTTTCTTTTCTTACTCCGTTTTGGAGTCCATCACTTACACTTTTAGACTTACTAACTAAACTAAAACTAAATGAAAAATGCGAACATTTCAAGAAAAAAAATGAGTATCGATTTTGAGTGTAACGCTGATCAGAAATATATTTATTTTTTATTTTTACGTTTTCTCCGTTGCGTATTCTTACATATGATACACGAAATGAAAAAAATAAACATAACCAACGAAACGTATAAATATATGCATCACGTGGTATGGAATTGATTAAATTCGTTAAATGAATTTTTCATATTTAGTGTAATGTCTGTCTGATCGTTTGACAAGTTATCGTTTGTTTGAAAATTTTTCCATGAACAGAAATTGTTTCCATAAACAGCAACCAAGCATGCCGGCTGCTTGGATCATTACGCTATATTGTTGAGAGCATATGTCGAAGACATTTAACAAAAAAAAAAAAGAAAAAAAGTTATAATAGAAAGATGGAGACCGCCGTCAGTCGTTCATTTACTTTTTACTTACTTATTATTATTACAGGAATACACGACCGCACTAGCAAAAGTCTGTCTCTTTTATTCTGGAAGTAGGAACGAATACTACCGTCAGCATGAGCTCAATAAGCAGACACCTCCCAACGCGAAGATTGCGTTTCGTGTAAGCGTCCACATTACGGACGGGACCGAATAAAGTAGTTTGGCTTAATTCAACCATGTGTTGCCTTACTAAGAATGGTTTTACGGCGAAAATCTGTCTTTTCCTTGATATCAGTTAATGCTCGTGAATTCAACTTATGTCACCCATGATTGACTATAATTTTTAAATCAATGTTTTCTAATTAGCAAACAGATTCCAAATTTTTGCTCTGAACTTGGCGCAAACCTGCCCTAAATTCTCTTAATTGCGGAGAGCAGTAATTAATCAACAAACGTTAATTAGTACCAACAGTCTTCTCTGTAGCCGTAATGTTCTCGCCACTCGTTACTCTTCTAAGTCTTAATATATAATGGATACGTTACGAATTCTTCAGAAATGAATGAATGACAAAAAAAAAAATGCAATTGTTTGCTTATCAAGATTATGATGATCGCAAATTTGTGAAAATACATGTCAAGTTGCCGTAAATAAACGCGACCTCTGATGAAAAGCTTACAAATCCGTTGAAATGTTTACAATCTCATTATTAATTCGCAGACTTTGAAAGATATGAAAGGATAATTGAACAAAAGAAGCAAATGCGCGATAATTTGTGGGATAAAGTTTTCCCAAAAACTCGACATCCGTTGAGCTCCTTTGCTTAGTTGTGTATTATATGCTTAACTAAACACGTAAACAGAAATTTTTATTTATTTTAATTCAATTTTGAAATCTTTAACTTACAGATTGGCTTTCTTGATGTGGTTATACCACCGGATTTTGTGGCCGAAGATACCTCATCTGATGTGATTGTACCCGAAGGTAGCTCAGTTAAACTAACATGTCGGTAAGTTGTCGAATAGAGCTTTTCAAAATTGTTATAGTGAAACAGTAAAATATTCAAATGAATAGAAAAAGATAGACATAAGCTGAAGAGAGAGAGTGAGAGAGAGAGAGAGAGAGAGAGAGAGAGAACGAGATGGGGAAGCGATTAAGCCAATGATTAGCAATTGTATTTAAAATATTGACAGCATTGACCACGAAAACCGCAGATGCCTGTATTATTCAATTACCATAACATTAGCTCATTACAATCAATATGGAGCCAATTTAACGGTGGCTATTATTTGATGAGTCACATTTACCATAAACAAAAAACATTTTCAATATTTTCAAAGTTTAGCAGCATAACATCGACATTATAAATGCTTAATTATTGCGGTAATAAACATAAAAGTGTTCGTTTAACTTTTTCGCTTTCACAAATAATTCAATGTTTCTCTAAAAATTATCCTTAGTAATCCTTATAACAAAAGTTAAAACAAACAAATGTCAACGAATTAAATGACACATCATTCTTTTTAATATACACAATCTCTGTTCGTTTTATCCACACCATCTGTCTATCATGCCATTGCCAACGCATAATCCTGTTAAAGGCTAAGCACTCATTTTATGGAAAAATTTGCTACTATTACGATACAGTAAAGGAAAGAACCTAAAAAAAATAAATAACAAATAAAAAAAAAAAGTCGTAAAAACATTTATTTTATTTTATTGAGCTACAGTTATTTCCTCTCGTCTTCTGCTTGTTAGCACTGAGATGCCTGTTTATAATCTTGATATTCTCCTTAGCGGTGATGCTGGGGTATTTTCTTGATTTATATACTTCAGGCTAATAAAATTTCTTTTAGTGTCATACTTGCTAAAGGTTTTTATTTAATTAACAAGAGAAGAGAGCTTATAAAACGGTATAGTACAGAAGCGACAAATGTAAGACTCTGCTGAAAAGAGTTACGACCACTATGAACAAAGCATATTTTAAACTTTCCTCATTATTTCATTTTTTCCCTCTTATTTGTTTGAATGCTTTAATAGGGCAAAAGGAAAGTTAGAAAAATATAGGTTTAATTCACTTCTTGCCGCCATCTCGGTTTTTGCGTTTTTCGAGTATGTGGCTATTTAAGCGCCATCAAGCAGCCTAGAATACAGTCAGCGATGTTAGATTTATTTAGACATCGAACTTGATCTATGGATAATTTTCCACTATCTCTATTTATCAGGAGAATCTCTTAAAGTCGTTCTTCTTCATAAGATAATTTACGAAAATCCAAATATCATCCACATGTATTGTTGTTTATATCGTAACATCTTCTTTTACGACGTAATATATGCACAAATACCCTTGTGTTTGCCTTAACTCATATCTAACTAAAGTTCCCCCACATATTTGCCTGCTTCGATCCAAGCAAACATTTCTTAATAGTTCCATATGTTACTGTCATCAAAATTTTTCAGGAAATTTTCAGGAAAATCAGGCAAGGTCAATAAAAACCTTACTGAAGAATAGTTTACTGCTGACGGATTGGTTGCATTTCTTGTAGAACGCCCTTTTATTTGTTTCGTTTGTCTCAACTTTTATGCTCGACTTTTTCTTGAGTATAAAGTGTGGTTTCTTCTCCTCATGCAGCCCACATAATTATCAAGCACCACCGCACCACGCCCATAAGGATCATTTATTATTGCTGCTTCTATTAGATTAGTTGCTATAATGACACAAGAGAGACGATTAACTGCATTTTTATCTGTAGTTGATTTCCTCAAAGATCAAAAATAATTTCCCCGAACGCCTAGTCCCCTTTAGCACCAGAATAAATTACATCGGTTTGTGCTTTAATTTTACCTAAAGTTTGTCAAACGGTATATAAAATATATCTTTTGTTATAACTTATGTTACAGAAAAACAGCGTTTCGGCTTCTTTTGTTTGGGAGTAGAAAAACCGGTAAACTTGGTAACTCTCACAGTCTCCAACAAATATAAGTTCTTCTACTGTACAACCAAACTTAGCCGCTATGGGAATTAGAATAGATGATAACGACTACATTTTTAATGAGGCTCTGTCTGAGGACGCTTATGTGCAAAGCTTGAACAGATTTGTAACCGGCGCCCTTGGAAGACATCTTACTGCTAAGCGTCGGCGCCAGCCTGAGTCTCTGGGTGGATACCCTTCGGCTTTCAATATTTCACAACCTGTTTTATATTGGCACTGAGGCACCAGTCCGAGAGGTATAGACCTAACTGGTATGTAGCCATATGCTACCAAAAATTGGACCTTAGAATTTTAAAATTATTAAGGTACCACGGGAATCAGGTTGCCCAGAGGATTCCCTTTGTGTGGAACTATTGGCTGCAGTTTTTGCTGCAGCAGAATCTGCGTAGTGTGGGTCTTCTACCTGACTGCTAGGAATGGCCCTTAGGGGAGTTTCGTGATGGCTGTAGGTGCCCCCACAATCGCAGCCTTTTTCCTGTCAGAGGGAAGGACGTGCCATACACATGACCTTGATGTGGAACTATATGCGAGCGTCTCTGCGCTCTCTGTGTGGCGTGAGTGACGCTTTCTCATTTCGTGTGCTATGAGACAGATGGTTTACGTTCAAATCAAATTCCTTCAGTAGTATTGTGCCGAACATCTCCCCAGTACAAATAATTGGCCAAATAAATGGCTGTGCACATCGCTTCTACCCAAGAATGTTTGTTTAAGTACTTTTTCGAAAAACTAGATATGTAACTTTTCCAATAAGACTTCGTTTCATTTTTTCGCCTACAACGTTCTCTTCAGTAGTGATACAATGCACTTGTTTGATGAATAATACCAGACGATTTGATTATGTTTCATAGAAGCTCTCTATAATTATCGGTACACAGTATTTTAGTTTCTAATGGAAAGCGGCAGGAGCCAAGATCTATTATGTAAACATCCTTCTATAGAAGAGTGTACCATTTCGAATAACTTTTTGGCTCTTATACTAATGTCTTTGCATGGTAGATGTACTGTCTCTCCTTTCTGTCGTACAGCGTACGAATCACTCACCAAAGCATGAGTTTTCTTTACGCCATGAACACTGCTTTTACTCTTTTAAAGCTTTTGCCACGTGCCCGGGATGGTCAAACCTGAAATATCGTTTGATCGATCAGTAGTTTACCTAATTCAAAAATTCAATTAATGTGCGCAATAATTGAATCGACAGTACGCACAACTTACTCTTTGTACAATGAGTGAACGTTTAGTGACGCCGCATTTATCAAGATTTTTATAACCTTCAAGTACGTATAAAACTTCACCGAATTCAACTTCTGATGACTTCTCTTCGACAGACTCCTGAACTTTAATATTGTTTTGCAAGTTTCAAGTTATTTGCGGAATTGAGTTGAGTTGTGGATTGACATCTTGGCATTTTAATCTGATTAAGTTTCTCTCCCTTACCCATAGTTCTTGTTTTCCTATTTGCATTTATTCCTTAATGCGGAACACATGAGTTTCTTTCTTCCGCGGGGTTTTTCTTCTGTAATAATTTTTTCTCTCTCTTCTTTCGAAAACTCGCTCTCATATGACGTGGTCCCGTTGTGGATGTTTGTCTGTACAGGATTTTTGTTGTTTGCAAACAAGAGTTATCGATCGAAACTTCAGCACCCTCAGAAATAACTTGGATATTAATTGAGAGTTAATTGAGTAGATTGTCAACACCTGACAACCTATTCGTATCGATTAACAAAAATTCTTGTACGTAAACTAGCGTTATTTTTGCAATCCTTCAGAACATTTTCATCCTACGTTAAATATTTTAACCGCGTTGGCATAACAGTATTTACTATGTCTCCCTGGGTTCGTATTCTTCCAGTTTGTGCCATTAAGTCTTCTTAACAAATTTACTCTTCGCGTTAAGCTCAAATGTTGAAAGGCTTCTTATAAACATGTCCAAATTCTATGATGAATTAATTTCTTGTATAGAGATGGACCAGCAAAATAAGTTGTGAAGAATCGTTCACCTTCCACCATCCATTTGTGAATAACTGCCCACAGTCAACTTCCACTGCTCCCAATTGTTTCGATCACTACGTTTTTCAATTTGCGAAAAATAATGTAACATTTTTATCTCGCCATCAGACACGGAGCCCTATAACCAATTGCGATACATGTGTTTATTATATTGAAAAAGCACGAATAGAAACTAGAAAATTGCATGACAATTGCATATAGCGTGACAATTAAAGGCCCAAATACAAATCGCATTTCCAATACGTTTGTTCAGAGAATTGCATTTTTTTGAAACGTCACAGTTTTGTAGTTTTTAAAGTCAAGACGCTTTTCCTGATCACAAAAGTTTATACTCTCATACCCTACATCTGTTGGGATTTGAGCAGATGTTTGCAACACTATGAGGAACGACAAGTGAACGCACCTCCTATTGAACCAATTATTTCACAATCATTTTCTGAGCTTCTCTGCCTACCTATCTGTCTGTCTACTGTCTGCCCACCTACAGTTGTACTCAAGCTATAATTAACAATTTTCGAGATATTATGGAGGATTGGGCCACTTTTTACGATCATTCCCCATATGAAGCCCTACATTGAAAAGTCCCTACATAGGAAATGTAAATAATTTGTAATTTTTGAAATTTTTCGAAAAATTAAGAGCGGATGAGGCAACTATTCAATACCCTTTAATAAAGGAAAGCAAGCGCAAACAGCAGTTTGATGTAAACATTAATTGTAGCAAATATGCACCTTATAAGTCTACTTATTGGAGGCCATTTCATAGCAGGATTCTCATGAGAAGTACGCCTTTATATGACAAAAATCGCTTACAAATAATAAGATCTTTGACCAGAGCATTAAGAATGGTAAACATGATTTTTGAATTTCTTTCCATGTAATGGCCTGTGCATAGAACTAAGGTATAATTTTTAGTATTTTCTGATGAAAATAAATGAGGGATTATACAAGGTGAGGTGTTGTATAGTATTTAATGGTCGATCTTGACCAACTATAATATTTTTACTTGTGCATAGTTTATAGGCTGCAGGTGTAACCTTTTTTTTTTTCTCTTGAGAACGAAAATGACAATGCAGTTAAGGCCAATGCAGTATTTGCCAATTTCTTCTGACACCAATATTTTGATTTGGACAACATATGGTTTTATCAAAACACAGTGCAACAAGTCATGCATCCCATGACACAATCTTACTCACACTTGTCTTATGTACACTTACAATAATGCTAAAATGAAGTGGCCACCAAGATGCGACATAACCGCACACACTTTGTTCTCATAAATATCATAACCGTGTTATCACTAATCATTGTTCTTCTCCGACCAACCACCAATACTTTATGACCTCGAAAGCTGCGTTATCTATGTCATTAGGGCAATAAGTAGAAATTTATATCGAAAGTCACCAAGAGCTTGTGTTCAATATTTGAACTTTAAAAGAAAAGTCCAAAAGTGATTAAGTGATGAAATGAAAACATCATGAAACAGTATCCAAAATAAGAAAAATAATCTATTGTTACCTTATGTACGTTGATTGTTATTTCAAAATGGGCAAGAAAAAAGAAAGTTTAGTTGATTAACAATTTTGTCTTGATATTATTTTTTAATAGTAGAAAAAGACATTTTAAATAAATTATGGATTTTAAAAATTGATATCGAGCCGATAGCCTGTGTTGCTAGTGCTCAATGTCTCTTTTTTTAGTCTAAGAATTCAATTCATTAGTCTAAAATTAAAATAATAATAATAATAATAATAATAATAATAATAAAAATTGATAAACATAAGAAGTAACAACAAAAGAAGATTTAGATAAAATTCTTTTTTTAGAGCTCGTGGCTACCCGGAACCTATTGTCACTTGGCGTCGTGAAGATGGCAATGAGATTGTACTCAAGGACAGTATGGGTACAAAAACTTTAGGTAAATTTTGAAATATCTTTTTAATCTTGTCAACTTTAAATTTTAAGCAATATTTTTTTCTTACATGCGTCAACAACAGTGTCTTCGTTTCGTGGTGAGGTTTTGAAATTAACAAAAATTTCACGTAATGAAATGGGTTCATATTTATGTATTGCCTCAAATGGCGTACCACCATCGGTTTCTAAAAGAATATCGCTATCTATACATTGTAAGTATATGTGTTTTCCTTTCGTTTTCGTTTTTAAAATGAACGGTAACATTGTAAACTCATTAATTACCCGCACAATATAACCGGATAATAGTGGTCAAGATGTAAAGGAGAGACATAAACTTCCTCACGATGTTTACTTTATAAGGACTGCAATATTATTTTTTTTAATTGTGTTCTTCTTCTTTCCTACTTTGCTTTCCAAACAAATCTTTAGTTAGTTACTACTAAAATACTGGTAGCAGAAAATACTATTACTACTACTTCTACTACTACTATTAATATTACTACTACTACTACTACTACTACTACTACTACTACTACTACTGCTACTACTGCTAAGTAATAATTTCGAATATCTGTCTGCCGTACGTTCGTGCTTAAGTCCTTGGAATCTGATGTTTTGATTGCTGGTTTTCTATTCATTTTTGTTTCATTCTTACATTTTTCTATTTGACAACACATATCATTGTTGAACAAACTGTATGCATGTTTATCTAGAAATATACACCCTCAAACGAGTTCAGCTTTTATGTGCTAAACGCCAATGCTGTTATATAGTTTCCTTCAACTGATACTTTGTGACAAAACTCGCTGAAGCAAGTTATGCGTTATAAATGCCCTTCTCCGTATAAAAATTTATTCAATAATTTTTCTTCATTACAAATTTACATAGTTTCAGCTTGCTCTCTGCCCTCACATATGAGTTATATATGCGCATATATTTTTCCCGTTTCCCTCTGCTCTAAACTGTTCGGTGTTTTATATACTAGACAGTTTTTATTTAACATGACTGATGGCTCCGTATTGCCAGAAGGTATATTTCATATTCAAACTTGTGACACGACATCAAGATTCGGGCACGGAGCTGGCTGATAGTGCTTGAAACATTTAACTCGACAAACGATGGCATCATCAACGGTGTCATTGCTATTATTACGTTAACAGTTTAGTTGACAAACAATGTTGCACAGCTATTGTCGCATAATGTGATATAAACACCGGCAGCTAATCAAAACATATGAATGCTTATTATTATTGTTATTAGTGCTAGTATTCTGGCGAAGATATGCAACAGCTTTTATAAATATGAAATTATCTGATTTAAATTCAATAATAATAACTGAAGAGTAACAATTTAGACAACACCTTCATCAAATGTCACAATCAAATGGACAGAGTACAATGACCGCACAAAAGAAATGAGAAATTATTCATTTAATAAATAATGGTGCATATCACCTTAGGCTTAGAACTGACGACAATAATATAAATTACATTTCATAATTCATCGAATACCAAAACAATAAAGAAACTATATATTCGAAGTTCATTTTGCAAATGGCAGATGTATTGGGGTCTCTGCTAACACCACTTCGGTTTAAATTATTTGCGCACAATGCTATTTGCATACCTCCACTGATCGCTCTTATATCTTATGAGATGAGATTTTATGTTATATTTTCAATATTTTTTTTTTGAAAATTTCTATCCGACTGTCAGTTGAGCCGAAAAATGGAAAGATAGACTGACCAAATACCAGAGGCCCTTAATGGAAAATCTTTTCAGGATCCCAGCCCATTAAATACTAAAGCTTTCAAATCAAATATCCAACAGTTCAAACCTTCAAACCTTCACGCTCTTCAGTGCACCCTCGAACCTTTCAACAAAAAACACTTTGAAATCTTCAAGGTTTGGTTAAGTCAACGCAGTGTTATACAAATATGAATTCAAGCTTATAAGTTACGTGCGTCAGACAAGTTCAGGATAAATTCGGGTTGTTACTGGCAAAAATAAAGGGAATTGACCTAAGCGCAACCTCATCAAAAGTTTTGAAAAGTTACTATTGCTGGGAGGTACTAAAACCATCCTCACAAAAATTTTTTGGGATACACTAAATTAGCGCTGACCTTAGTAACCTTTACAAATACCTTTTAAAGATGACCCAAAATATTCGTGGTCAGTCTGGGATTTGGGGACGAAAAGATTTTCCATTAAAGTTTGTCTGTGAAATCGTGCGTTTGTCATGTGGGTGCGGGTGCGGAGCACGAGCAATTAACTAAGAAAGAAACTTTTTCGATAAACCTACGTTTCTCCAATGGAGATAAGACTAAAAGAAGCAATCTATTTTCGTAAGATGGCAAGAATACTAGGGGATCTCATCTCAAATTGCCTTTCGACTGATTCTACTGAATCAACACAATACCACTAGGAAGCAGATCGCACGACCAAGGCATATTCAAGTATTGGTCTCACCAAGCTCGTGTGTAATCTTTTTGTTAAGTAAAAGCCGTGAAATTCTTTGGACTATCGTTTGCTAAGGCCAAGTAATCTTTTATTAATGGAGACCTCAATGTGCAGATTAAAAAGCAATCATAAGTCAAGTAAAAGTCCCAAGTCCATGAACCAAACTACATTTGCCCATTTTTGTAAATAGATGAGATACGACTGTGACTTCCTGCATTTTTTTAAGCTTAAAAGTGTAGGAACGCAACGTAACAAAATTATTTAGATCAGATTGAAAGAAGCAGGAGTGCGTTATCGAGGTAAAGAAGGAGAACAAATTGATAACATCCACGTACATTGGAATACGGGCTGACCTAATCATTGACACGGGGTCATTAAAGTACAGGAAAAATAGTAAGGCTCCTAAGTGGATGCCTTTAGAGACCCCTGACGTCGGAGGAAAGAGGTTTGAAAAGAACTCTAAACGACATATTATAGAGACAAAGGTTTTGTGCATTTCAATAAGTATGAAGAGCAACCCAATGGCTGCCGCTTAAAAATCAATAACTTATCATTACCACGGTCAAAAGCTTTACTAAAATCTGTGTAGAAGACATCACTTTACGAGTCACTAGAAAATGCCTTAAACACTTGACAAGCAGATTCTAAAAGGTTTCTCACGGTTGAATTTCAGTTTGTCAAGGCGTATTGCAACGGAGGAGTAAATGCTTTGATAGCGAAGCGAACTAACTAACAATCCGTTCAAACAACCTTTGTAAAGCGCCGAACTTAGCAGTGTCCCTATAGTTTGCCATGAGATGTCCATTTTCACAACTGTGCTACGAAAAAGAAAGGTGCGTTCCAAATACGATAGCAAAACTCCAGTTTTTAAAGAAAGATTAAAACTAATTGATATAACCTTACAAAGTTATTTAGTGCATGGTTAAAGAGGTTAGGGCCCGGCGCGCAACTATGCACGGGTAGAGCAGGAAACTTGGGCATTTTTCGTGTTAAGTTAACAAATTTGTAGAATTTATTTGGATTACTAAGGGAGTGAATGTTTTATCTTTAGTAGACATCTACAATAGTCCTGCGGTCGTTATGGTAATTAAATCTACCCCACACAGCAGAGTATTGGAAGTAATCGCACCCAGATCCACTTGACATATGTTTTTAAAAGATTCTTCTATGCAAGTACTCTGTTGGCCGACGAGACACCTAAACTTACTATCTTATATATATGATAACAGGGTTTTAAGCAGATTGCGTTAAAGGCATATTGTAGGTTTGGGATAGCACTACTCAGCATGTTATGGACGCACACTGAACTGGCACACTCGCAAAAGAAGTATAAGGTGAAGTGCTAGATAATATGGATCCGCAGGTTGAGTAAAAGTTGGACAGCGATTTAAAACTAACTATAATAGGAAAATTTCCAAACCTAAGATGCAAGAGTCTTCCATTACTATTGGGAACAACACTATATTGACGAAGGTTCCAATTAAATATTTTACTAACAAGAACATTAAGTCCATCAGATGCCGTGGTAGGAACCATATAGCTTGAATTATCGGAGCAACACCATATGATGTACGGTGAGATAGAGTCATCAAACGCAATAACGCTATTAGAAGGTTCCAAGTTTGAATGGCATCGCGAATAAGTGCTTGGCATGCTTCATACAAATAGAAAAGATTGTCATTAGGAGGAATGCGGGAGGAAGTTAAAAACATGCTTTGATTGCCAAATTTAATTTTTTTACTCTTTCATTCTTGATACGGTAAGATAAGTACCGTTATTCCGCTTTGTAATAATTTAATTGATTAATATTTGTTATAGGAGCGCTATTGCAAATTAGCATAAAAGAAAAGAACAGTTTCATAACAGTAAACCTAAAAATAAACAAACGGAATTCTAATCTTCACAAACAACTTCTTGTTTTTGTGCAAGCTATTTTTATTAGAGAGTCAATTTAATGTTTTAATTAAAGCAACGCCGTGGATACGGGCGGTGATGAAGGTGATGCTAATAATGGTTGGTAAACAAAAACAACTTAAAAGCTTGAAACAACTATAGCCTAGATCACCTAAACTAGGCAAAAAGAACGTAAGTCAAGCATTAATGTTAATCTACCATCTAACAGCAACTATTAATGATAATGAGAAAGTTGATGACAACCATATCGGAGTCCAAATAACACCGAAACCACCGCCAATATACACGCAACAAAATACATAAACAAAATGACAAACAACAAATGATCGCTAATGTTGTACGAAAAGATCAATTTAGTTAATTTATAAGTGCCTAAGAGACACTCAGCATACACGTATGGTTACTTGGATTGTTGTCGATAGGTCTTTACACGCTTCAACTGAAACAAGAACGTGCACATTAGGCAGTAATGAAAGGTTTGCACTATTCTACGCCTATAGCTGATATTAAATCAGAACTGACCTTGTTAGGATATAAAGCACGCAATCTCAGCAACTTTAAAAGTAGGGTAATCAAGTAGCACGCCATTCCTACGCTTTATATTTACCTGGACCCTAAACCAAACGATAGGGATATTTGTAATCAGTAAGATATATTAGTCATGCTATAATTTCTTTTGCGGTCTCGACTACCCTACTTTAGAATGAGAAAAATTGTTTACTGCCAATTATAGAGACTGGCAAATGTACAGAAAATTACTTCAAGCACGAGCAACACAGCACTATGGTTCGCGTACTAATCGTGAAATTAATAATTTCACTCAAAATTCTAATATTCCA